TGGGCTAAAATGGGCGCAAATTAGCAGTGGGCGTGTCCAAATGTAGCACAAATTCAGCAGCAAATGGGTGGGCCACTTGCTCCATCTGGTGCTTACATGATCTCCTTGTGTGGTTGGTGGGTACAAAGTTTGGTATTTAATATTTGATTTGCTTTTGTAAAGGTTATAGAAATACAGCTGCTATGTCTATATGAGGGTGTCTCCTCACCTGCTAAGTTCACCACCTCAAGGACTCCTGCCACCCTGTACCAAGCGCCATGGGTCCTAATGACTACCCCAACCAGGCATGGTACCACTGCTATGGCATTCTACCATGGTGCATTGCTCACCAAACCCATGGTAGGAAGCCACTATGAGACTCACATTTTGTGGTATTCACCACCACTAAGGACATCATCTACCATAGAGTGCCCGGTGTACCATCGGAGTGGGCCTCTAAGACATATTAATTTTCAAGTATAAAAAGCCTTAAAGATTTGTAAAAGGGGGGGGACTGAAGTGATTCTCGAGCAAAGAGGATTCAGACCGTGAACAGCTACCGTTTACAAGTACGTTGACAATGTTATCACCACACGTAATAAGTCATGCAACCTGTAAAATATATAGCTATCCTAAGCCTTGAGCGCCTCAAGATTTTTCAAAGCCTTGCGCCGATGATCACTCATCCAATCCAGAGCATCTAGAGCACTGGGCGCCTTCTCCTTCTCGGGTGCCTTCTCCTTATCCACCACCTTCATCTTCCAAGTCTTCCCAACATAGATGTCGTTGGCTGGTTTATCAGACATGTACCTGTGGACGAGCACGTCTTCCTCTAGTACCTCGCGCAGACGGGCGTTAGCCACTGGGGCCATGGTATCCCTCTCCGCAGGCGTCTTTGCGAGAACGGCGTCGACATCTGCCGGATTGATAAAGATTGGCGTCTTTGCATTAGGCGAGAGGTAATGCACCGGCGCCGTGCCAGTATCCTCTGTCTTCGGCGGAGCACGGGGAAGAACCGCAATACGCGTCGACCCCTCGAAGATGTGCAACCCCCGCGGCGCCGTCGGCTCGGGCGTCCGCTCCCAAGGCACCCAGTCATACTCGTCCGGACCCGCCGTGGGCAAGTCGAGCTTCCTAAGGAAGAAGTTGTGCATGTTCGACGACTCGTACGCCTCCGCCGGGCCGCGCGGGACGTTGATCTTGACCTTGAGCTCGCTCCCATAGGTGGCATAGTGCGTCTCGAAGTCAGTGAGGGTACGCTCGTTCAGCTTGAGCGCCACTGTCACTGGTGCAGAGGATGTGCTGACAACGGAGCCCGCCGCGAGGTCCTCGGGGGAGGACGCGGGGATTGTCGCGCGGCCGGTGGCGCTTGCATCAGGAGCGCATGCCTCGAGGAGGGGATTAGTTTTTACGAGGGTGGCGTCGAGTTGCTGGGAATAGAGGTGTGTGGGGCGCGCGCCTGGATCTTTGATGTACTTTGAGGCCCAGGCAACTTTGTATTTGGGGGAACAGGTCAAGGTAAAAGAGACCTCGATGGGCTCTGCCGACGCTACTCCGGTCCTGTGCACGACGACCTGAACGTCACTTGTTTCGCCTGCGCGATTTCTGATCAACATGTGGGAACAAAAAGAATGATAAGACCCGGTGCGTACCTGCAGTGAGCGAGGAACCCAAGGGATATATGAGATCCACTGAGTACTTGCTGACGGCCGGATCCGGTTCTCCGGCTTGGATGTTCTCTAGCTTGAGGGGTACGCTGATTTTCTCAGCAGTGGCGTTCTCCTGTTGCTTACGAGTCTCTGGTTGGAAGGCAGTGTAGCCGACCGGAACTTCGGTCGTCTCTTCGCCTTTGAAGTGGACTTCAGCGAAGTACTCGTAGAGAGACTCGACATTCACAAGCTGGTCCATCAGCATCAGTATGGGCTCAATGCCGGATAATCGACGTTTGCTTACCTCCCTGATGACTCGTTTGGTGCCTTCTTCGCCTCGGTCGTAGTCGACACGTTGGCACGTCGGGTCAGGAGCAGGCGGATAATTTGAGTTGGGGATCATCAGTGCAAATTTCTGTACTATGTCTCTCTTTGAATCCGCGTTCACTTTCGAAACGATGATATCAGCTGTAGTCGGCATCGGATAAGGAAGTCACACGGACACTTGGAGATATCTGTCAAAGGGTACTTGACCTCAAAAGCTTTCCTCTCTTCCTCACGAACTTGCCACAGCGACTTGTCCTCGAAGCTTTTTATGTACTCGGTCGGATCACCTTGCATCATGGGGAGTTTCCACGGTGTCCTGGGAACGGAAGCGATGAAGGCGAGCATATCTGGCTCGTTGTTCTCTGGAAGGACGGCACCATCGCGCCTGAAAATGCTCTAGTGAAAACGGCATTTCAAGTAGGTAATGTAGCCTTACAGTGACTTAGCAAACGAACACTCTTTGTAGCGTAGCCCGATGTGGATGTTTTCAATCTCCGGACATTGCGTTTCGGCCTTGACGCGCACGTCTCCCTGAATGACGGAGTTCGGGGACAGGTCTGGAGCACGAACCCATATGTGGAGGGGGAGTTTCGAAGCTGCAGAAAGTGTGCTGGTGGACATGACGAGAGTGAGAATTTTCAGAAAGCTAGTGATGTTATTTTATACCTTGCATCCTCACAGCGGCTGTGCCTGTAACTCAAAGATTCAAACGTGGAGCCGATACAGCATCCATCCTAATCTTCAGATCAACCCAGCAGGGGCCCCACATTGGAATGACTAACGGACCCCGACCCTGAATGTGAGCCTGTGTGTTTACTGGAAGTGTGGAGTGCCTGACCCAGGAATGGCTGGCGTACTCACCTCTGCGGGAAAAGTAGCTTCCAGTGAGAAATTTGAAAATAGAGCATATACTCAGTTGCGGACTTGGAAGTGGATACTAACTACTAGTTTCGCCTCATGTAGCCCTTGATCCTTGCATGCTACTTTCAAGGGTTGCGCTAAGCACAGCACCGAAGCAGGCCATCTTCAGGTCGGACGTGTGTAAGTTTTAGGTTTCAGCACATGTGGTGATGGCAGAGAGAAGGAAAGAGGTGCGTAGCACAGCCACCGGGGATACCCGTCCTTCGGGCTGTGGCGGCTCGTCTACTTGCTACAAACAAACAAAGTGTACACTTGTCAAAACCGAAAGAACGGCGGAAAGATTGCACCTACAGCTTTAAACATGCAATGCGTGGTTACAGAAAGTGTCTTGCGCAATTACAGAAGCATTTCGGACACTTATGTTACGAGGCGCAATACTTCAAGGTCATTCCTGTTCCGTTTTCCAAAGCCCCACATCCTGTCGAGAGCGTCAAGGGCGTTTCCACGGGCCTTCACCTGCTCAGATTTATCTTTCGCCGCTACCTTCGTTGCCCACGTCTTTCCAACATATATCGCATCTTTGCGTCTCGGGTAAGCATGATGATACCTATGAACCTGTACTTCCTCCTCTGGCCACTCGTATGAGCGCGGTTCAGCTGTAGGCGCCAGTGCATCGCGCTCAGCAGGAGTCTTCGAGATAACAGCGCCGACATCCGCAGGGTTGATGAAGGTTGGCGCCTTTGCATTGGGCGAGAGATAGTGACAGGGATGAAGGTTGGTATCGTCGCCACAAGATGAAGGAACGACGGTGATGGACGTCAAGCCCTCGAAGAGGTGCATTCCTGGACGATCTACCGTGGCTGGCGCCCGTTCCCAAGGCACCCAATCGTATTCGTCGTCGTCCGCGGTAGGGGCACCTTGTGCACTGCTCCTGAAGTTGTACTCGTTGACAGAGTCATAAGCCTCGGCAGGGCCTCGTGGGACGTTCAGTTCCGCGTTCAGCTCGCTCGCAGAGGTCGCATAGTACCTGGCAAAATCCACGATAGTTCGTTCCTCGAGCTCGAACTCCACGGTCACCGGTGCTGACGAAGTCGACACAATGGCATGCGCGTCGACATCCTCGGGCGGCGACACAGGAAGGGTTGCACGGCAGTGTCCGCTCGGCCTTGACTCGCACAGCCGTACCTTGGGCTCTGGTTTGGTATAGGAGGCATCCAGTTGTTGGAAGTAGACATGCGTGGGCTGCGCGTCTGCGTTCTTGATGTATTTGCTCGCCCAACCAACTCTATGCTTAGCACCCCAGGTAAACGATAGGGAGACTTCGATAGGTTCGGCCGAGGCTATACCGTTCCTGTGAAGGACCACCTCGAATTCGTTTGGTTTACCTGCATAGTTCAAGATCAGTATGTCGTCTAAAGATTGATGTGGCGAGTAAAAACCTGTTTCCAGCCTTGCACCATTGGGATACCTAATATCAACCGAGTATTCGCTAGTTGGTGACGCGGGCTCCGCTGGCTGGTACTCCTTCAACACTAGCTGAACTGTGGTCTTCTGAGGAATATCTTTCCTACCGGTTTCGGCGGACTCAGTGAACAAGGGCTGGAATGCAGTGAATCCGGCCGGTATCTCCAACGACGTCCCATCCTTCATGAACACGACTGCGGAATATTCGTAAATGGATTCAACGTTTACCAGCTGGAACAGAAGATCAGTAAATGCAGCGCTCAACCGCTTCAAATCTGCTCACCTCCCGTACTTCGCACCTCATGTCATCCTTTTTGCCCCAGTCATAGTTAACTCTTGCTGACAGTGGGTCTGGAGCGGGCGGATAGTTGGTGTTCGGAACCAATATGCTGAACTGCTCGACTACGCCTTTCTCGAGAGCGGCGTTGACTGGAAATCAAATTAGGTCAATATGAAGCATAGCTTAGGACCAAGATCTACAAATACCTTCATCAACATGCGTCAAAGGGAACTTGATCTCAAACCTTGGAAGAAGCTGTGCACGACGCAGCACAGCCACCGATATTGTTTGGTGCGCGTGGACACTTCAGTCACCCCGCCCCCCGGACCTCTTAGGTGTTACCTTTCTCACTCAGAGGTTTGACCTAAGAGGGTGTTCCGTGGTATGTTTGGCTGGGTTCTGCGCCCCTACGGTCAGATTTCTGGCATTTTGGTGGTAAGTCTGGCCAGGCATCCGGAGGGGTATTATCCCATATATCCGACCGCTGGCCATTTGTCTGGGTGGCGTTCTGTGAGATATCCCGCCGGCTCTCAGCCCGTGACATGTCACGCAGTGCGCGGGGGAGGGATAGGCCTAAAAGGCCTGGTATTTGCGATTTTTACCGGCCTGTACGGGCTCGCTCGCCGCGTGCCTGCCCTCGCCTTCTTGTAATAAACGCTTGTACAACCTATATAGATTATGCACATAGTTAAGCAAGCTTATTTTGATGAAGTTCTATGCCTAAAACATACAGCTTACATCATCAAACCCGGAACTATTACTTGGGCGAGCCAGCGAGATAGCCGTGTATATCACGATGTCATATCATATGGTCAAAACTTATAATCAATATAACCCACACAATGTAGCAACTCTTGTGACACTTCCTAGTGACAAGTGGCATATAGCATACAACACATATTGTTTCGATTCTTAACCCAATCTCAGGCAGCTGTGCAGGAATATGACTTGCTTAGATGATTAGGCCACTAGCACCACCAGAATAGCATAAAGCCAATGCCAGGTCTGTGAACACGAACCAAGCATGGAAAAGGTTACATTATCAACAATAATATAATAATATCGAGGAGAGCGAGCCCCAGGTTGAGATCTGTTTCATGAGTGTTGGATATCTAACCTTTGTACTGCGAGGTAGCGAGGAGTCGGCCGATTGTCGACCGGACATCCGACCAACCAAATTCTCCGTGGTGGGGAGTCTAGGGCAGACATGTCGGACATCTGGATGACCGTCCTGTATTTGGTGGAACGTCTTGTGCAGACAGGTGGGATATCTGGACGAACGTCCCACATGTGGTGCGGTCGCGTCGGATATCTGGACGACCGTCCCACATGCGGTGGGACGTCTGACGCAGACAAGTAGGATATCTGGACGAACGTCCCACATGTGGTGCGGTCGCGTCGGATATCTGGACGACCGTCCCACATGCGGTGGGACGTCTGACGCAGACAAGTAGGATATCTGGACGAACGTCTCACATGTGGTGCGGACGCGTCGGATATCTGGACGACCGTCCCACATGCCGTGGGACGGCTGTTGCAGACAAGTAGGTTATCTGGACGAACTTTCCACAGACACGTCAGATATCTGGACCCACTTAGCTGATTTTTGCTGGATGGGGCCGGATGTCTGGGAAGTAGAAATCATGTCTCCAGCAATCCAACCCAGCGGGTTGAACATCTGGCGCAATCAGCTCGAGGACGTCGGATATCTGATATATTACCAAGGATAGGCTGCGACTAGCGGTGAGATGTCTGGGCAGCAACTCAGACGTGGGGAGAGTTTCTCGGCACGGACAATCCAGATATCTGGTGGTCAGATAACTGGGTGAGCTCTGTGTGACAATCCGGCCAAGTCATGCAGAAAGTAAAATATGTGGCTCACACTGAAGAGATTCACGCATACAACAGCATTTACGCATACGATCAATGCATCAATTAGTATAAAATCATGAAGTACGGGCTCGCTTTGGACTACTCCGGATAGGGGAAGAGGGCAAAAAGTCGGTGTTTGTTTCCTCATAGAAGTCCTCTTCGTCAGTCTCGTGCAAAAGTGCAAACTCCTCCACCGCAGCCATGGCCTCCCCTGTGCCTACATCCATCAGCTCCTCAGAGTGTTCATCAATTTCAGAGCCATCGCTCTCGTCATCGTGATCTTCGTAATCTTTATCGTCTTCATCATCGTCTGGCACGTTGTCCGCCGGCTCCGTATGCATACCAAGGGGTTCGTTTTGCAAATCCTCCACAGGAACCAATATACCATTCTCCACAGTCGCAATGTCGTCCGAAGTCGGGCCCCAAGGTTTAGATATCGTGCAGGTAATGGTGCGAACCTTTGGCTCCCACTCGGCGTACAGCATCGTTAGCTCGTCCCTCCGGCGTAAAAGTAAGAATAGCAGGCTAGACTCTGCGAAAGGATGAGTCGATCGTTGTGTGGTGAACACTCGAAGCAATGACTCACTGTGATTGTTACATGCCTCGTTTACTGCTTTCCACTCCTCTGAAAACCACTCTTGAATCCTCCTTCTCTCGAGAATTAACCTTCGTTCCTCCTCCTCACATCGCGCAATCTCCAGCGCCGACCGTATGCCACTTCGTACGGCATCATTTGACAGCCAATCAGGCGGTGCTCCAGACGCCTCCGCCAGACCGACGTCCTGCCAGATATCATCGTCGACGTCTAACTGCCATATAGAATCGGGAATGAGTCGAGCTGGGGCTATGCTACCGCTCGGTGCCTTCCGCTCCGCAATCATTCGTTCCAAGTCGCAGCACAAAGAGTTGTATCGAACGACAAGGCGTTTGATGGCGGGTTCGCGCTTTTTCATCGACGTCTCGATGTTTGATGATAGATTATTTTCTGGTCAGGGGGGATCTATTCAATGTACGGAATATATTTGCTGGGCATGATGCTACATACCCTTGCTAGATTCTCGGTAAGGGCGTTCGACTACACGCGACATCTCAAATTTCCGCTGGCGCAATCGATCGCGGATGCGCGTCTTGACGGCGAGAGCTTCCATCCGCGCCTGCAGATAAATGTCGCCCTTGAGCCTTGAGAACTCAATGCGGGCGGGGGTTCCCAATGATGCGATGCGACGACGTAGAGTCTCAGACGATCGGGAGAGGGTGTCCCGAGCTATCGTCAGCTGGGTGGCGATGTCGACGGAATCTCCAGGGCTATCTGAAACAAGCCACCGTTCCAGAGCCCGAACGTCCTCTCTATGCTGTTTAACAGTGTTCTCAAGAGCGAGTAACCTTGTTAGCTCCGCGTCTGATTGTGATTGAAAGGTGCCTTCGATATGGTACGGTTAGCAATCGAATGATCCGGTAAAAAAAAAGGTAAAAATGAGACTCACGAGGAAGTGGGCGAGTCTGATATTGGACCTGTTCTAACCACGCAGCATGAAGGTCTGCCGTAGTTTTCCGGGACACAACAACAGCCCCACGTGCCTTCGACATCCGCTGTCGACAAGTGCTCCACTTAGTATGAAGCCACTCTCCGTACTTGAAGAGGAGTCTCGCGTCCAGATGCCTGACTTGATTATCTAGTACGAAGAGCCGTTGATGAAACTAAAACCGAAGCGAGGTTGTCAGAGTTTACATAGCATGAATGTAATCAAGAACAACGTACACCCGAAACTCGAAGTACTGATATTAGGAACTTGAGGGCACTCCACAGTCTCTCGCATCCCTCTCCGTCTGAAAGACCAAATCCTTGCCGTTTTCGAGGGTGATAAACGAGCTGGCACGGCCATTGGTGACCATAAGCATGAAACACGGAGACAGCGAATGATATCCGCGATAGTACGTCCTCCGACAACAGATTGAATTTTCGACAGCTTCGCTCGAGTTGACACGCAACATCATATAGAACGCCGAGCGTGCTGCGGGAAGGGAGGTGCTCTAACAACTTCGCAATGAGAGCAAGCGCATAGTGCTGCTTTTCACCGGAGGAAGTCATGTTGCACAGCCAGAGAACACGGTCGTGCCTGCAAAGCAATGCCATCAATCCTGTGTCCGCAAAGAATCGAGTGCTCGGCTTTGTCCGTTTTTCGTCGGCAGCGGTGAACGTGTCGTTGCACCCGTCTAAAACTGATGCAGGCACGCGCATACCCTCTTCACACTTGTCGACTGGCTGTGTATTTCCTGGCGCTGCTTTTGATTGTCGGGACGGGCGAAGTGTTTCGACATGCGTCTCCATCCGGGTCAGTTCCTCCTCCGACAGGAAGACAGACGTCGTGGGATTGATGGGGTCGTGCAGAGAGCCTTGACGTGGGTTATGCGCACGTTTCTGAGTGAAGCAGGCGTCCAAGCAAACAATAAAATCAGGTTCACCCTCTGTCTGCTGACCTGGGCCACCAAAGCAGAGAGGGCAGCGCATCCTAAGATAAGCGGATGGGCTATTGTCCGTTGGCGGGGGACGATGGCCGGTGATTAGACCTTCGATAGCATCTTCAGTGCACAAGAGAAGAATCGAGTACCAATGGAATGTGTTAGCCCATCTCCTTTGTAAATGTTCCTGCTCCTGTCAGCATCACCAGTCATCTGTTCAAATTCAGTACATACCTTGGTATCTAGCCTATAGCGAAGCAAATACATGAACACCTCGACAGCTTCACACCACCCAGTAGAATTCGGTGTCAGTCTAGCAAACAGTAGACGGGCAAATTCAAGCAGACGGAGATCAAAGGCCATAGAAGGAGCGATAGGGGCGCAGGGGAAAAAACCACGAGCAAGCAACTGCATAGGTGCCGTGCGGCATCTGCATGTTTGGAGAGACACATGGACTACACCTATGAAGCAAGTTAGAATATGATACCACTTATACGAACTCATATGTACGGTCAAATGATATGCAGTCAACTTCAAGTAGCTTCTTGTCGCAACTACAACTGGTGGTATTGCAGGGAGTCGCCGGTATCTCGCGTAGCCCTTTTGACCTTGACATATAGTCGGCATAAACATCTATCAGTCTCGGAATGACATCTCGAGTCCAGCGCTGCCATTGGTTATGACGTTTGGTCGATGTCGACAGATATGTGCGAGGGGGAGGACCGGAGTCCCAGAAAGTATCTGACATAGAATGGGACGGTGGATCAACCATCGCCTCGGAATCGAGAGGTACCTTGGCACCTGCAAGGGGGACGTCATCGGAAGTAAATTCAGGAAAATTACATTGCACGAGGTGCAGTCCACGGCCTATCACAAGCGGGCGGTGTATTGGAGGCACCAACGGAGGGAGGAGATTGCGATGACGACGATCGCTTGACCCTAGAGCCTGTTCTGTAACAAACATACGTCGAGTTGTTAGAGAGGATCCAGATTCAGGCGCGCTAGCGCCAGACTCAATTGCAGCGGCATGCAGCCGTTTCTTCGAACGTGAAGGGAGCTTGATAGACATCACTGCAAATCAACAGATCAGAAACGTTACAAACGCGGAGACAGACAGGATAGACAGAGATTAGAAAAACGAAGGTAATCCAACAGCGTCATTACAAGTTCAGAGAAAAAAGAACTAATACGAGTGCGTAACAAGAGCGTGATGAGACGAAAGTGATTGTACGGCCAAAAGGCGAAGAAGCACACGACGCAAACCCCAACATATCCAAGCCCACTCAGGAGAAAGGAAACGCGAACGGGACGATGGGAGCGCGGCCAGCCTGTTGGAAAAATCTCCAGCAGTAGTCGGTGGCCAGCGGCGAGACTTGAAGGTACAGGTCGGTGAGTGTGGTGGCATCGATAGGCCTGGTCTGACTGGCGCCGTGCCATCCCGACAGCAGAACTCTGAACCTCTCCCAAGCCGTTGCAGCTGTTTGAGGATCTCGGCTATTAAGCCCCACTTCATGCTCTCCCGCTGGGAGCCACTGCCCTTCGCGAGTCAAGCCTCCATCAGGGAAAACGTCGCACACTGCTTGCTTGCGCGCAGCCGGGTCCTTCACCCACAGGGGGCGTGCCATGGCGTGATCTAAAGCGAGGAGTTCAAACCGGAAGTTGAACTCGGCGACCTCCCAGACAATTTTCTTGACGATGTCTATCTCCCGTATAAGAAAGCGGGGAGACACGTCCATGCCTTGCCAAAGCTGGGAGGGGCTGTGCGACCAAAAGTCGCCTGACTCGACAATGGATGTGATCACAGACCCGAAGAGCTCCCGCCCCGAGGCACGTTCTTGCCGATCCTTAATACGATTTGGCGACAGGTCTTCTAAGATTACACCGGTGAGGAGGTCCCGCCAGTTCTGACCATTGGGTTGGGCGACGAAAGGACTGAGGTCGACGTCCTCAAGACGCTGAGACCGGATATTGAGCCAATTGACGAGAAAGGTGGTTTTGCGCTTCGGTTCTACAGGGGTGACAAGTGCACAGGGATCCGGAAAACGATAACCAGCCGCTACATGTCCGAACGGGGCTTTCGGAGGCAAACCCTGCTTCTTCTGCTTAGCGTCGTGTTGCCCCTTGGCGGACTTGGCCCTGTCGAGCGCGTTCGTCCATATGCTAGGCACATCCGGGGTGTAATCGTTGCTGAGGACAGACCAAGTATCACGAGCACCTATGATAAAATGAGATTTCATGAAACCGCGATTAAGAAATACACTTACCTTGCTTCAGACCAGCCTTTCGGCCTTGGACCTGAAAACGGCCAGACCCGCCGCCAAAACCCGGAGCTCCTTGCGCGGGACTGCCCTGCATCTGGCGAACCGTGGACAAGTCGGAAGCTGACACGCCGGTGAACTGGACCCTCAGTCGTTCGTTGCAAGCTGGCATGGGAGGGCAGATGGGCTCGAAGGGCTCGAGACGTGCGTGTGTGTCGAAGTAGTTCTCCCGTACGATGTGATCTGGACGGTCAATTTGGACGCGATTCTTTATCTTGATGGTGGATGGTATCTGAGCCCTGATTCGAATGAACCATACCGGAATGCCTGCGATGTGTAGGCGCTCGCAGACATTCGGATCCGAGGTAAAAGCTCCCATCCATTTCTCCGTGACAGGAGCAGGGTAGAAGTCGAGAACTCGCAGCTTTGGTTCTGCGTACCGGACATAATCAAGGAATGCGGTGATGTCAAGGTGGCGCCTCTGGGCCTCGGCGTACAGTTTCACGATGTCGCGGTGAAGCTGAGGGGACTGGAGCTGGGTGACGACGCCTTCGAGTATTCGTAGGGGGATGGTGATCGAATGCTCCTTCTTGTTGCGTTCTGTCATCCACGCAGTGACGGCCTCCTTCGCTTGGGAGACGAGACCGGAGACACCTAGCTGTTTGTTTGGGCCAAGGGAGTACATAGTTGGGTAGCGGGCGGAACGAAGAAAGTCTTCATCCCGAAGGTTCTCCCAAGCAAACCACCTGCGTTCATGCGCGTAGAAAGGGTCTTTGCGAGGAATACACATGGCCCACTCAAACTTCTCGCTATACAACTGGGGCCATTGGAAGGCGTCGACAATGCCAAAGCGGCCGTCTGCTCGGGCCTTGACCTCTTCGTTCTCAAAGATAAAGGGCTCTGGCACGAAGTCCGCGTTTGGGGACGTGATGATATAGTCTTTATACACGGCTATGACTTTCGCATCGGAGTATTCGAATATTACTAGGACGAGCGTGAATGGTTAATAGCGGCGACAACAACTGGGCGACTTACCATCGTCAGGGGGGAAAGGGTATTCAGCCACAGGGAAGATTTCGTGAAGATTGATATCTCCCATCTGATGCAAGCTACGATCAGTGGGCATGCTTAACAGCGACCATGGGTAAACAAACCTTGCGGGTAGGGGTCTTATCGATAAACAGCCAAGGGGATAAGGGAGCGAGTAGAGCGCGGGCACAAGTCCAGAGATAAGAAGAGAGTACATGTGGGTTTGTGCGAGAAAGGTACGACGAACGTAGCGTTGAAGTGTGAACACGAGTGGCGTAAGAAGGTGGCGTTAAAGGAGAGCCCGGAAGAGAACGTGAATCCGAAACGAAAGTCACGAGAGTAGCATGAAAGATGTCGAACACCCAAAGGTAAGTGAGCAACTAAACAAGATTGTAACGCCCATGGAACGAAGAAGAGGCTACGACATCCAGGCAAGGAGCCGCACGAGACCACATCCCTTTGGACACTGAAGATCGCCCCTGAGGCTCTTCAACCCTGGCATCTCACGAAACCGAAGTGGAGAAAGGGCGAGCCCAAGGACGTGAAGTCCCAGGCGGGGGATCGACCGAGGTAGCGCGTAGCTCCCTAGGCCGGGGTATGAGCAACGCGTAGTTGCTCGAGTCCAGGGGAGCGGCGACGTGCGATATTGTACCGGAGGGTGGGGATGATATATACGTACCGTAGATGGAATGACCTGTACAAAGTAGCGTCAGCGAACTCAGGGTATTATGATCAAAACTTGCCTGGGGCGAGCGTAAGACGTTGAACTGAAGATGGGGCGTCAGCAAACAGTCAGGAAAATAAAGAAAAATTGCACCTCGAGAGAGCAGATACGAAAGATATCTGTGAAAAAAGGGTAAGCTGCCATCGGCAAGGCTCGTAGCCAAACAAGTGTGGCGGCGGAGGACTATACCTTGATCAAGCGCGATCGATCACTTGGGTCGTGTAGTTAGTAGCTGCCTAGAAGGAGGGAACGGATCGCTGCTTACCACGAAGAGGGAGAGGTGTCGTTGCAAAAGGGCCTGTGCGCGATGGGGGCAGGAAAGAGGAAGGAAGAGTGCGGATGTAGTCGAAGGGCTCGAGATCGTTGGGTGATGATGGCGGTCGAGGGAAAAGAGTGTGTTGTTGTGGTCTGCTTGGTCACCATCAATTGAAGTACCGATGCTACATTTGGACAGATCGATACGGCTATACCCGGTGCCTGTCCAAATAGGGCAGCCTGTCGTCATAGCTCGAGATGACTAAGCACCTACCTTCCTTTTACAGAACGAACGTTAGATATCCGACCGCAGCCGCGCGGCCAGATATCTAACTCGACCAAGGCACCCAGCCTCTTCCCGCTGCCTCTCCCTTCGCCCTTACGCATTTCCGATCGCCTACACCCTCCCTCTCCGCCCGCCACGGCCATAATCTGCCTGTCCGCCGTCGTGCCTCAGCTAGAGCAACTACGCGTTGCTCGTTATTCTGGCCGAGAGAGCTACGCGCTATCTCGGTTGGACCCCCGCCTGGGACTTCACGTCCTTGAGCCTGCCTCTTCCCCACTTCGGCTTCGTGAGATGCCAGTTTTGATGGGCTCGAGGGGTGACAGCTGTACGAGTGCTCTAACGTGGCTAGGCGATTTTTCTTTGTCGCGAATGGTTTGTGGTATTGACGTCGTGGCGTGTCCAGTTACGAGGTGAGGTATTGATTATTACTGTGCGGGCTGGTTTGAAGCTTCCATAACAAAGGGTTACCCATGTCTATGAACGCCAAATACGACGTTCGTTGCGAGAATCTTCGATGTCATGACACGCGATGCGCTGGCGACGTGTTCGACACTGATTGCAGAAACTCGTACTTGGTTGGCAGTTTGGGTTCGTACATATCACTAGTCACTTCATGTTTTGTGTCTAACAACTTCTGAAGTTTATCATTGCTCGCGAACCATGGGTTTGGATGCGAAATGCAATGTCGTTCGCTATGTCGTTCACTATGTCGTTCGCTATGGCGTCTCGGGACATTAGACATGTATGGCAGAAAGTCGTATTTGGTTAGTAGTTCATGCTCGTATGATCCCTCGTCGGTTCATGTCTTGTGCCTGACAATTTCTGAAGGTTATCATCGCTCGCGAACCATTGGTTTGGATGCGAAATGCAATGTCGTTCGCTATGGCGTACGCTATGGCATCCGCTATGGCATCCGCTATGACGTCTTGGGGCATTAGACACTGATTGCAGAAAGTCGTATTTGGTTAGCAGTTCATGTTCGCATGTATCACTCGTCGGTTCATGTCTTGTGCCTGACAACTTCTGAAGGTTATCATCCCTCCCGAACCATAGGTCTGGATTCGAAACACGATGTCGTTCGCTATGAGAATGTACATTGTTACGTTGCGTCTCGGGCGTTAAACACGTATGGCAGAAGGTCGTATGCGGTTAGCAGTTCATGTTCGTATGTATCAATCGTCGCTTCTGGTGTTGTGTCTGACAATCAGTAAAGGTTATTATTCCTCGCAAACCGTAGGTGCTTGATGCCACCATATTTCGTCATGACACTAAGGGTAGTAGGTCGCAGCCAAATTCCACACAACCCTGCTTAAACTCATCAATGCGCTGAATATCTATCAATCTGGCGATGCAACACCTTCCTCGTTACACAACTCTCGAACCAACCCCCTCTCATTATGCTTTCTCTCCGGGGTGCTGGTCAGTAAGCATTTATATCCTCTAGCTTTCCCTTTTTGACATATTCCTAGGGATAACACCCAATTTCGCCACGGACGCCCAACAAGGCTTTAGATACCTGCGACCGGCGTGGCGCCTTTGACGGCAAGAACATAATCTGGCGTGTATCTTCACTGGGAACCCACGGTCGTCGCCTCGACGCAATGGGCATATAATGTACATAGTTCGCTGCCGGTTCGTATTTCCATCGCACACGCTGCTCATGCTATATGTCTCATGTCTAACTATGACAAAAGTGTCGGTAATGCCCCATACGATTATGGTATGCTTTCGTACGACCGGCGAACATTCTGTTTGCTTTGCAATTGCCCATAGCGGGTTTCCCCATTGTTATAGATCCGTGCGGAATTCGTCAGTACTAGTCCGCCACATGCCTTGCGTACTTATCCTCTCGTCGCCGAAGGTGACTTTCCCTGCTCCTTCGAACGGAGTGGGAGACATTAGCATGTCTACTATGTGCTTAACATCAACCCCACCAACATCCCTCCCTCTCATTCCGCGGCAACGTACGCCATTCCCCTCGGGTAAGACTTCCCTGGTCCGGAATGCGCAATATGTCGTCGTGTCCATCATAAGCTCAACGTCGTCGCCACTTCCACCTCTGATGTGCATGTTTGCCGTCTCAACCTCGAGCTCAATGTCAGCTCCAATGGTCTATGCCGTATCCGAACCATTACTCCCCATTGAAGGTCTTCAACGTCACGGTTTGACGCAGCCAAGTAGAGCGGGAGATGTATCATTATCTCGTGCATTGGCACGAAGTGGACGACGTTGGCGATGCGCCAGACTACCCCTCATTCCTGGTAATACATCATTGCGGATCATTGCTGTCCGGTCGAGCGACCTGACCATCAGACCATCTGTAGTAATCAACATTTGCAACCTCACCCCCGGACACCACCCCGACAATGCCGATAACGGTCTTTTTCCATAGGACCTTCTCTACTAAACGAGGCTGGGATAGTATCAATCACCGTGTTATTGCGAGAGCTGGATGTTGGCTCAGTGGAACAACCAGGAAAGTTGCCAGCAGCTCCTAATCCACTCTTGAACTTCGATACACCCTCTCCCTGTTACTAGATCACGTCCCAGGTTTTGCAGTGTCCACCTACTTGGTACCTTTCCATGTTTCCCTACAACATCTGGTCTTGTCTGCTCCCGACCCACTCCAAATCAGTCCGCCTTCAAGATATGTCACGAGATCGATGGCGTGTGGTACTCAGCACAGCCATCACCTGTCGCAACCTGTCGCCGCAACCTGTCGTGACCTATCGCGACACATGTAGGCTTACAGAATATTCCGATATCGTTAGAACCTTTTAGAGCGCCAAGATTAGATGCCTAGACGTGCCCCTACAACGCCTTCAGATGATATTTGGCGCCTTATCATTGCCATCCATCCAATCTGCCGACGCCTGTGTATTTACCGACAACTATGGACGCAGAAGGTGCGTTTCTGTTCCTGTTGTTCGTCACGGCATCGTCTGGAATGTTCGATCAGGGTTTCTTTCCATAGTCGACTCCGCAGCCATGCGGTATGTCTGTCAGCTGTCATGCACGGCACACAAAAGCTTGGGTAAGCCTCCACGTCCTCGTAGGTGTCTCGTACCGGTCCGTACCAGCCTCATCGTCAACTCACTGTTGCTTCCTTCGCAGACAACCACCTTCGGCAGGCATAAGTGCTGCACTGTGTGAAATGTATTTCATTGGATCCTGACCGCCGCCATTACACAGCGAAAGGAGCTCCCATCATGAGAAGGTGAGATACTTGAGCGATTGAGGTAAGCATCCCCATGTGATCACCTGCGTTGACAGGGCTGCTAAAGGGCTTAGCAGATGCTTGACAACGTAGACAGTATTACCTCCACGAACATCTCACAAAGCGTGAAACAGTTATCTTGGTCAACAGAGATGGCATACCTTTCCATCGGGGTCCTACTCCTCGCGCAGTACTTAAGGCCGGTGAAAGCCGCTAAGTCTTTTCTTTTGTCTCTTTTTTTTCCACCGCTTAGTGCTCTCTTCGCTTTAGCCTTCGTTTGTGCCCTTGCGACTGCGGTCGTTCCTAACCCTACGAAGTACTCAAGGTTGGTCACTTCTGCTCATCGATTAGTTTACATTGCTAATTTTTGTCTTCACCTGTAGCCCATCTATCACGCGCTCTACCATCCGCCGCCATTCTATCCACGCGAACTACGCGTTCGCTGCCCGTGTTTGGCTTCAGCAAACTACGCGTTTGTTGTCCCGACGTTTACTGTCAAACTACGCCTTTGACATTGACTCTATCTCCCTTCCTGGCCGTGGGTTCGTGACGTTACGCGCCTGCTTGATCCCTTATCTCGGCTCCCAAGATTATGGCTCGCGCCAGCGAGAGATTACGCAAGAAAGCTGCAGATGTAAGTCTGTCCATTCTTGCCATTACTAGATTGACGTATGAATCGGCCGACAGAAAACCGAAGTGTTAGATGTCGAGGCCACCACTTCTGAACCAAACACTCGAGTGCGTATCCCCGCCTTCTCGCGAACGTTGACGGACACTGACGTCGCCGTCTTCGACAGGTTGATCCACCTACCACATCTACCAAGGTACGTTCCGTACTCATGTCTTCGAAAAAGCAGAGACTAACACGTCTTCCTGGGATAGACCGATGCTCAGGTCCCCAACCCATCGACCGTCCGGGTAGGTCCTTCGTCCGTCCCATGCTGTGCTAGCTCACGCATTGGAAGGTAATTAGCCTAAACCCCGACCCAGACAAAAGAAGAGGGGCCCCGACGAAGAACCACCATTGTACGACGACTACTGGTTCTTCCGCCGCCGAAGTCCCCCACGAAAGTTAGCTTGTTTCATTTCCATGTGGATGTGTATTGACATATCATTCTCGTAGAAAACCTCGCCACTAATAGAGTATCGCAAGAGCCGCAGCCCTGTCAGCCTGAAGAGACAGATGAGGTGGACGCTGAAGAGGCCGATCGAATGCTCGGTGGGGAAGCTGGTACCTTCGGCGGTGAAACCCAGGAGGACGAAGGGAGTAATGAGGAAGAAGAAAACACCGTGGACGACGCAGAGGGCGCCAGAGACGATCAGCCCCCTCAGCCTGGTACGTTCGAGTCCGTCAAAACATTGCAATGTTCTCATAATATCGAAGCCGGTGAAGACGAAGAAAATACCGTGGACGACGCAGAGGGCGCCAGAGACGATCAGCCCCCTCAGCCTGGTATGTTCGAGTCCGTCAAAACATTGCAATGTTCTCATAATATCGAAGCCGGTGAAGACGAAGAAAATACTGCGGACGATGCAGAGGGTCCCAGTGACAATCAGCCCCTTCAGCCTGGTACGTTCGGGTCCGTCAAAATTTTGCATTGTATTCTCATAGATCTCAACACCATAGCCGAGAAAGACAAAGAAAATGTCGAGGATAACGAAGAAGGCGTCGGAGACAGTCGTCGGCCCTCTCAGCCTGGTATGCTCTCCTCCATCAAGGTGTGACGCTGTTCTCGTGGGTACTAAATTCCATGTAGCCCCAGAAAATCGCGAAAATCACAAAGAACATGACGAAGACAATTTGGCCTCTGAACATGGTAAGTTCACGCCCATTGAACGGTTCCAATATTCTCATAATGGTAAAGAAGATTTAGATGTGCCGAGCGGTAGTGATTACGAAGCTACATACGCAGATGAGCAAAGGAGGAAGAAGTACCGCAATGAAGTAAGGGGGGCTCAACATCGCCCAGTCTCTCCTGACAGCGAGGAAGATGATGATATCGCATGGAGTGACCCCAACCAAGGCTCGAAGAAACAAAAGAAGACCAAACCCCGTCGCACCAAGGTTGACCACACCAGCACTTCCAATGCTACCGATACCAACAATGCCGCCAGCATCACCCAAACCACCAGCGCATCCAATCCCAACACTGCCCATACCCGCGCTTGCGATGGCGGTGCTCCTCCACTCGGCGCTAGCACTTCCCACCGGAATGCTTCCCACACTCAGGCACCCAACGGCAGTGGCTCGCTGCCCAACAGTACGCCTGGCGTTCCCAATCTCTTAGACACTATCCCTCCCCCTTCCGTTGGGACAGTGCACGAACGCATCCTCAGCTGTCGCGAGGTCGACTGGAACATCAAAAAAGGTCCCCTTGATGAGGCGGAGGAAGCACTGCTTGCAGAGTTTGAAGAAGACCTCATCGAGCGCGTATGGAACTTGTCTTCATCCGTCAGAAAACGTCCAGAGTTCCTGTGGGGTCACATGGGTGTTGACATGAAGGCTCGCCGCCGAAGGTCAATCTGGAACATGTTGCAAAAGTGGTGGTATGGGACTCAAGATCGCATCATCAAAAGTAACACTTTGCCCTCGCCTTGAGACTATCACTCACCATTTATTTATGTAGATGCTGAATTAGTTAACGACCCACAGCTCGCGGCTGCGGATGAGACCCCTGCCCGAGACATGGAAACCAAGGAGGAGTTCAAAGCTCGCGCGTCTACGGAGTACTGGCAGCGCTGCGCGATATCATCAGGAAAGACCGAGGAGGAACTTGCTACCATGACCAAGGAGGAAATCCAACGCTCGGTCGATGAGAGTCATCCCATCTGGGACGAGATTCACGCCTATTATAATGACGATGTCTCCCCGGCACATCTGCGCACTCAAGACAAGGTCATCCAGATGAAGCGTGCCCAGCAGGCGTTTGCCGCTGCGGTAAGCCCTTCTCATTTGCATCTAGCGATTGACGTTTCTCATCTTCCGATATAGGCGCGTACATGGCGGCTTGTGACCGGCATCCACGCTGCCGGCCTCCTATTCTTCACTGGGCCTGATCCAGTGGTTCGGTCCCATTCATGCATCTGGTCGGGAGATGATCTGGTGGCTGAACTAGCGAATGAATACAACGCCGATGTGCAGGGGATCTTACACTACGTCGAAACCATTGTTAGGTGCGTACGTTCATCCATTTCTCAAACTGCTTAGTGAGTAGGGTATGCAGTCACAAGGAACTTTCCGCTGCTCGTCGTCTGGCCCGGCCAATGCTTGAGGCTCGTCGCCAACACCTTACAGCCCTGCTCGCAAAGCGAGAAACAGAGAAGGATGGGACCTTCCAACGCCTTGCTCGCTGCTGGACGCTGATGTTTCAGACACTATTCAGTACGTTTATCACCGAGCCACATAACTGTTACACTAACGACTACTTAGTGTCGCGATCGCATTCACGACAGCATGACCAGTCATGACCACTATTTATTTCACTTACATTTCACGCATCGTCGTTGAAGTTGTAGCTTCACTTCTTGGTGCAATAGGTCACGTGACCGGCTACCTCAATAACCGGTCACATGACCCGGTTCGGTTACTCTACTTACCCGGCTTACATAATCATTCTATAACATTCCCGGACATTCTTTATGACTTCATCATGATATCATAAACGCGTCATCCACGCGTCACACATAACATCACACCTACGTCATTCCTTTACCATTAGTAGTAGTACCTCGCACTGCTTGGTCTGTGCGCATACAGTCCTTACCATATTAGTTAGTCTGTTTGGTTCAACCAAACACCATGTACTTGTATATAACCTGAGCAATCCATCGCCCCAAGACTCTAAGTGAGTTCTTGTGGGAATTCCTCCTACAGTTCTATACCTAGTCTTGCCACGTCGG